TATTTTTTAGTAGAGACGGGGTCTCGCTCTTGCTCAGGCTGGTCTCTAACTCCTGAGCTCAAGCGATCCTCCTGCCTCGGCCTCCCAGAGTGCTAGAATTACAAGTGCAAGCCACCATGCCCGGCCCAAATGCCAATATTAATACTCGTATTTTATTTTTTGTGTTCAAATTTATAAAAAAAATTTGATATAACAAAATGTGCAAGACTATCAAGTAAAACATTTATAAATATATAAATATTAAGCATATTGTACTAATATAAATTATTTGCCCATTAAATTAATATGAAAAATGTATGTAAAAATACAGGTGAAATAAGATTGGCCATGAATTGATAATTGTTGAAGTTGAGTGATAGGTCTATGGAGATTTATTATATTATTCTCCACTTTTGCATATTTTTGAAATTTTCTATAATAAAATGTTTTTTTAAAAGTAATGAAACATTACATAAAAGAGAAAATTTAAACATGAAATACTGAAAGTAACATCGAGTGTGATCTTTAAAGACAGAATTTGTCAGTGGAGTCCCCATTTAGAGGCAAGTGTATTTTTATGTAGATGTTTCAAATGCTAAAAAGTTCTTTTGACTCTACTCTAGTTGGAGGAATGGGGAGGTGAGAGTTGTAAACTAATGCCTATTGTTTTCCCCCTTCTTCATCTTCTAATAATCCGGTAACTTTTTTGTGAAGTTTGAAATAATGTTTTTGAACAACTTTGTAGGGGGCGCAGGGTCTGCAATCTTTTTGTTGCTAGCTAGCTACAGTTCTTGATTCAAAGATATTCACATACCATTTCCTATTGGTCCTTGTCTTTACTTCCTCATGGATGTATAGAGATTCTGATGCATAGTCAGCTTTATAAATTTCAAAACAGTTCTATATTCTACTTGTTGAAAAAGTCTTTGAACTAGACTGTTGAAGAATTGTTCTTGCAACAGAAGATTTGCAATTCTGGTATATGGTGGTTGTTACCCAAATAGTTGCATATTTTTCTTAACTTGTAGGTTGCACATTTGTCTTTTTATATAGACTATAAACATTTTGCAACTCCAAATGAAATAATGGATATAACTACAGTAGTGATTATCAATAGCTGCTAAGAGCACTAATTAGGTAAATAACTAACAAGGAACATTATAGTGGATGGAATCAGACTGACATCATCTGAGCCCAAAGGCAGATCTTAACATCTTACAAAGAAACACAGCCAAATATTATATGCATCCTAACATGATGCAATAGGAAATATATAATATTGCCTGTGAATATTCTTGTCAAAAAGAAAAAAATACCAAACCTAAAATCTAATCAGGCATTTAGATCTGACTGGTTTATAGGCTATATGAGTGATAGAGGAGCACGTTAAAGGACACCTTAAAGATCCAATTAACCAAATCCAGAATATAGGAAATCTTACAAGACAGATGACCTACTTTCTTTAACAAATAAAGGCAAGGAGGAAAAGGAGGGAGAACTATTAAAGATTAAAAGAAACGTATTAATCAAGTATACTGTATGGACTTTGGATACTGATTTTTAAAAATTCACTGTAAAATATGTGAACATTGGCTATTTAATATTCGAAGGAATAATTGTTAAATTTTTAATATGGTGTCCTTATATTTTAGAAATACAACACTAAATTATTTTCAGACAAAATGGTATCATTTCTGAGGTTTGCTTTAAAATAAAACAGCAGGGGGATGGAAGGAGGGGTATAGATGAATTTCCATGAGTTGGTAGATGTCAGTGTGGGTAATAGTGATGGTGATTCATTGTTATTTCTACTTTTTTTTTTTTTTTTTGAGACAGAGTCTTGCTCTGTTGCCCAGGCTAGAGTGCAATGATGTGATTATAGCTTACTTCAACCTCAAACTCCTGGGCTAAAGTGATCCTCCTGCCTCAGCCCCTCAAATAGCTGGGACTACAGGTGTGCGCCACCATGCCTACCTAATTTTTTTCCTATTTTTTGTAGAGATAGGGTCTCACTCTTGCTCAGGGTGGTCTCTAACTCGTGGCCTCAAGCAATCCTCCAATCCTTAGCCTCGCAGTATGTTAGGATTACTGGCTTGAGCTATTGTGCCCAGCTTCTACTTTTGTATGTTTGAATTTTTTCGTAGAATAAGAAGTTTTTTAAAAATTAAAATAATTATACCAACAACAATAAAAAAGAAATTATGCCAACAGAGCAGAATATTTCTGTTCTTAAAAATCATATACTATTCTAGAGTACATGGCGTGATGAGGCCATGAAAAATTCTGGAGACACTGAAAGACCACACTGGGATAATAGGTACCTGTTGGTTTTGGGGTTCTTGTATACTTCTGCCAACACCACTTGAGACTAAGAGTAATAATAATTTTATTATGTATTTTCTTTAGAGTTCCACAAACATGTGGAGTTTGATTTCCTTATCAAGGGCCAGTTTCTGCGCATGCCGTTGGTCAAACACATGGAACTGGAGAACATCTCATCAGTAAGTTCACTTACCTTCTATATTTTACTTAAGGCATTATCAAATATTGTAGCTAAACTTCTTTTAGAATCAGCCTGAATCTGTCTTTCGCACACAAGATTCTTTTGGTTATTTTTTTTTCTATAAATTTCAGCTTCTGTTTCTGTGTATTTAATTTTGGAACCCCTTCTTTTATTAAGAGATTTTATTCAAAAAATAAATAAATGAACATATTCTTCATATTTGTAGAAGAACTGGCAGGAAAGGGAATAGCAAATATATGTGTACTAATAGTACAGGTGTACAAAATAATTCAGCACATATAAAAGCTATGGGTTAGGTTATTGTGATTTATTGTGATTTTCCCCTTTTCTTTAATTTTCAAACTTACCTTAATATTGCCCTTATAATTATAATTTATAATTGATTTTACTTTTTTGGTGATTTTAAAAATTGTGGGAGAATGTACATAAAATTTAACACTTTAACCATTTTTATGTGCACGGTTCAGTGGCATTAGGTACAACTGCTTCATCATCCTAAACAGAAGCTCTGTACCTATTAAATTATATGCTTTTATTTTTTAACATAAGTTTTCCAGGGCCATTAATATGTCTTAATATTACTCTTAGCATACTGTTAAGTCAAATAAAGTTTTTGACTTTTTGAATGGCTCCCAATTTTCTGGGTTATGAAGGGGACTGATATGAAGGTGGTAAATTAAATTGAGTGTCCTTTATCATCATAATATAATATTTTAAAACTATGCTACTTGATTGGTTTCTGGTTTCTTTCTGTTACTAGGAAGAAGTTGTGGAACTAGAATATGTAGAAAAGTACACTGCACCCCAGCCAGAGCAATGCATGTTCCATGATGACTGGATCAGTTCAATAAAAGGGGCAGAGGAATGGTATTGACAGTTGAATGCTCTTCTGTTTTCTTATATATTTTTTTCAGTCTTTTAAAATCCATTACATGAATATTTTCCCCTAATTTGCTGTTCTTTGCTAAAGTCATTTTGCAATATGTGTATTGGTGACCATGCCAAACAAAAAGATCTTTGCATTCAGTGTATTCAAGAAGAAACAGCTCAGGAGTTCGAGACCAGCTTGAGCAACAGTGAGACCTCATCTCTACTAAAGATAGAAAGAAATTGGCCAAACAACTAAAAATAGAAAAAATTAGCAGGACATGGTGGCGCATGCCTGTAGTCCTAGCTACCTGGGAGGCTGAGGCAGGAGGATCGCTTGAGCCCAGGAGTTTGAGGTTGCTGTGAGCTAGGCTGACGCCATGGCACTCTAGCCCAGGCAAGAGAGTGAGACTCTGTCTCAAAAAAAAAAAAAAAAAAAAGAAGAAACAGATGTTTATTAATGGGTTTGGTTTTCTGTTTCAAGGTGTTGTAGTGACATTTGTCTTAGGGCATTTAATTTATTTGGTTTGAGTATGTTGCTTTTAATACCAAGTGTATAATTTGTTTCATAGAGAAAAAAATAACTTTTGTAGCCACAGATCTCCTGGCCTACTACCATGAAGACGCATATCATGCTATTTTAGGGTTAAAAAGAACAGACTGGAATCAAGTAAGAAGATATGGATGGCTCAGTGAAATCCCCACTGTCCTTACTTGTAGAAAAGCACCTCAAGAGTGGGTCATATTAGGCTATTAAGTATGAAATGTCTGATTTCCTTAAGTACTAAGTTTGACAGTTGGTATCTATTATATTTCACTTTGACACTTCTTGTTTTATTTTTATTCTGAAGGTACATCCTTAGTCTTGCAAACACATGTTTTGGCTTGTGATTATCTTTCAAAAATTTTTTTAGAGCAATTTTTGTGAAACCATGGATAAGTCAACAATTCCTGTTTTGTTCGTAGAACCATTGCAGCACAGACAGCTTGAAATATCAATGACGTGTTTGGGAAGGATGTAGCTAATGAGCGCACAGTACGTCTATGATTTGAGAAGTGAAATATCAATGAAGTGTTTGGGAAGGATGTAGCTAACGAACGCACAGTACATCTATGATTTGACAAGTTCCATTCTGGTGATTTTGATCTCAAAAGTGAGCCACATGGAAGACTTGAGACAAAGGTTGATATAGATGAGCTGCAAGCTGTAGTGGAAGCGGATCCATCTCAACCTATGTGTGAATTAGCAGCAAGGCTTGATGTTACTATTCCAACAATATTGGACCATTTGAAAAAAATCAGCAAGGTAAAGAAGCTGGATAGATGGGTTCCGTGTGAATTAAATGAGCATCAGAAGAGAAATCATTTCGAAGCTTGCCTTTCTTTGCTGTAACAACGTGAAAGTAAACATTTCTATGCCGTATCATTATGTGTGATGAAAAATGGATTCTTTTTGATAATCTCAAGTGTTTGGTACAATGGTTGGATAAAGATGAAGTGCCAAAACACAGTCCAAAACCAAATATTCATCAAAAAAAGCTAATGGTGTCTGTTTGGTGGTCCAGCGCTGGTATTATCCACTAGCTTCATGAAACCTGGTCAGTTTGATTACAGTGGATGTCTGCTGCAAACAATTCATTTAAATGATGAGGATGCTTGTGATTACACAGCTGAGATTGGTCAATAGAAACAGGCCAATCCTCTTGCAAGACAATGCTTGACCACATGTCACCAAATGACACTGGACTCAAACTACAGAGGCTGGACTTGGAAACTCTCTGTCATACACCATATTCACCAGACCTGGCACCAACTGACTACCACTTCTTTCAGGCTTTGGACCACTTCTTGTGAGGAAAAATATTCAGTTCTCGACAAGCTGTAGAAAACGCCTTTCTTGATTTCATCGCCATTCGCTCTCCAGGCTTCTTTGCTGCTGGCATAAACAAGCTACTATTAAGATGGCAAAACTGTGTCGACAGTTTGGGCGCATACTTTGGTTAATTGTACTGCTTCTTGTTTGAGATATGATAAACTACAGTTCTGATTTGAAATCAGACATTTCATATTTAATGACCTATAGTAGGAGCTTACATCTTTCAAAGAGTGTGTTTCTGGAGTTATAATACAAAGTAATGTTTTTACTGGTTTTACTTTTACTTTAAATGATTTCACTGTTTTTCTCTTTAATGGTTTTCACTGGTTAAGTACAAAGGACTACAGGTTGAGTATCCCTTATCTAAGATGTTTGGGAATAGAAGTGTTTTCAATTTTGTATATTTTCGGATTTTGGAATATTTGTGTATACATAATGAGATATCTTGGGGATGTGATCCAAGTCTAAACAGGAAATTCAGTTCTGTTTCATGTATACCTTATACTTATAGCCTGTGATATATACAATACAATATTTTTAATCATTTTGTGCGTGAAACAAAGTTTTGACTGCGACCCATCACATGAAGTCAGGTATTGAATTTTCCACTTGCAGTGTCACATTGGTGCTCAAAAAGTTTCGGATAGGCCAGGTGCGGTGGCTCACACCTGTAATCCCAGCACTTTGAGAGGCCGAGACAGGATGATCACTTGAGACTAGGCATTCGAAACCAGCCCGAGTGAGACCTCATCTCTACAAAAAATAGAAAAGTTAGCCAGGTGTGATGTTGGGCATCTGTAGTCCCAGCTACCTGGGAGGCTGAGGCAGGAGGGTCACTTGAACCCAGGAGTTTGAGGTTACTGTGAGCTATGATGACACCACTGTACTCTAGCGCAGGGCAACAAAATGAGACCCTGTCTTTTTTAAAAAAAAAAAAAAAAAAGTTTCTGGATTTCGGAGAATTTCGGATTGGGGATGCTCAACCCGTAATAGGCTTTACAAGTAATTTGTATAGGTTCCCTAAGAGTTGTGTTAATTATAAAAATAGTAAATATGAAATCTAGGGTCAGTTATTATTTTTAGGAGGTCAGGAAAAGTCAAGTGTAAACATCTGATCTATTCTATTTTGAAATCTTGATCTTCGTATTAAAGAAGAATTTAAAAGTATAATGCTAAAGGTTTACCTTGTCATTGCCGTAGAAACACAATTGATTTGCAGGGTTTGAAAAAGCTGCTTTTTGTGTTTTATAGGATTTTTTTTTTTTCTTCTCATAGGATCTTGACTGGTTCTTATGATAAGACTTCTCGGATCTGGTCCTTGGAAGGAAAGTCAATAATGACAATTGTGGGACATACAGACGTTGTAAAAGATGTGGCCTGGGTGAAAAAAGGTTAGGACTCTTCCTAAACTGAGAGGAATCCTAGATAGGGGTTTGGAAATAAGCCTTTTTTAGTGCTGGGGCAGAATGAGGAGTGGGTAGGAAATATGCCTCAGTTACTGTAACATCTTTTAAAAATATAGTGTTCAAGAAGAATAGGATTATATAAAAATTCAAAAATTGATGGAAGTGAATCTCAATGGAAATTACATTGGATAATACACATTTTCAAGTTAATATTGAGTATGTTAAACTCATATCTTCTAGTTTTGAAGAATCTTCCCATTATACTGTGTTAGCTTTTTTTTTAAAAGCTGGCTGTTTGAGTGCTTTATCTTTTTAACGTCTATTACAACAACAGAAAATTTCAGTTTTTCAATTTAGAACATGATGCATCTAGAATTTTGCCCAGATTTGATTCTTATTCTTGTGTTCTCCTTTCTTCAGACAGTTTGTCTTGCTTGTTACTGAGTGCCTCTATGGATCAGACTATTCTTTTATGGGAGTGGAATGTAGAGAAAAACAAAGTAAAAGCCCTACATTGCTGCAGAGGTCATGCTGGAAGTGTGGACTCTGTAGCCGTCGATAGCTCAGGAACTAAAGTAAGTAACCAGTGTGTTATTAGTACTATGTTAAATTAGAATTCGATCTTCATATTACACATTTTTTTCTACATATATTTGTTGTGATTGGCTTAGTTTCATAACAATCAGTGACTAACGAATGTGATTTCAAACCAAAAGTTTTCATACTGTAAGAGATATAAAGATTTACTTCCTTAGTCTGAGTATCTTTGGTTTAGAATCTTATATAAACCAGAAATTTTAAGAAATGAGCAATTCTTAATTTTAAGAAATTTTAAGAAACAAGCAATTTCTTTTTATGTAACCTTCCTAAATCGTAGTAATTGACATATTTTCGATCTATATCAGCTATTCATAAGTGCTGTCACTGATTTAAAATGTCTCATTGATCATCTGAGCTTTAGTGTACACTAAGGTTGGTGTTAATATAATTTGTTTTACTATCAGTGTTGATCTGTTCTTTATCATGATAAAATGGTAAAAAGGGAAAAGGAAACAATAATATGAGGGGTTACAAACCTATTTATAATTTGAAAGTTTACTAAGCAACACTGAAGTATTCTAGTCTTAAGAGTGTTACTTCAATACTTCTTTGACATTTAGGGTAACAGGATGTTTGATGTATTCAAAAGTAAAGATTTATGATTTTTCATATTGAGCCAAAAAGAAGGTTTACATGTTACTGAGTCCAAACTTAAGTGGATTAACTGTACCCAGTCTCTTGCCTATAAGAGGAAGAAACTCATCTTAAGCTTGTTTAAGCTTAAAAGAAAATTTATCAGATTGTGAAATCCAAAGAAGAAGTGAACAACCACATCACAAGAGGGGTGATGATGCTTTAGGGCCTCAGGAACCAGTGGAATGGAGGCTTAAATGTGGCCAGCACACTCGCTCCCTCTCTTCTCTCAAGTTGACTTTATTCTCTCTCGTCTCAGACTGGCTTTGTCCATGTGACAATAAACCTGGCCTTCAGTATTTCCCAGGTTTTACACCTATTTTATCTGTCCCTGGAAAAAGACTAACTTTGACTCTCTGGAACACAAGTTCTTTGAAAAGATTCTGAATGAGTAAGAGGCCTACTGGTATAGGGTAGATCAGTTGCCCACCCTCATCTAGGCAACCGTGCCCAGGGCACAGGGCCACGTAAGAATGGCAACTCCCTTGATTGCCATGCAGATTGATGGTACTGCTTCCAGAAGACTAGGAAGTTGGGCAGATAATACCACAGTAGTAAAGTATTTTAGAGCATATGAGCCACAGAGATTAAGCAAGCAAACTAAATGTTTTTAAGTTTAATAGGAAAAAAATGAGGCAAATAATATGAATTATATTACATATGCTTTTTCCCTTCACATACCTCTGTTCAGTTTTGCAGTGGCTCCTGGGATAAGATGCTAAAGATCTGGTCTACAGGTAAATTAAGTATTTCTTTTACTTTGACTTATTAATGATGTTTCAAGAATTTCAGTTCAGCGGAAGAGGATTTTTTTTAATCCAAATTTTGCCATAAAAATAGACCAGAGCTTTTTAGAACACACATATAAAAGCATAATATGGCAACAAATTAGTATATTTCTTTGTCTTTGAAGATGTTTGTTCTACCTCACCACCTCTTTACTTATTGTACAGTGTCACTGAATTGATGCAAGTATCAACAACATGTTTGATACAACAAGACATAACTACTTCAGTTCTCAGAGTTCCCTTCTTCAGGAACCTGGAAATAAGCAAAAATACCTTCTCAGTTATTTTGACTCACTTGAAGTCATTTAAAAATGACTTTTAAGTCATTGTTAGAGGAATTTCTTAGTTAAGCTGGTTTACTTTAAAAAAATTTTTTTCGATACAGTTTACCAGACTTAGTATTATTACTTTGGAAACACATTAAAAGGAACAAATTGAGGGAGAAGGAGAAAGGTCTCCTAGAGGAAGGTGCTTTGATAGTGTAGTAAGAAGACTCTGATGGGAAGAAAAGAGGAAAAAAATACACACATATTTTAAAACCTAGTAACTAGAACTATTTATTGCACAGGAAACAGACCAGAATACCTCTGTTACTTCTGAGGGAATTGCAATATTATACAGTATGATACCCCAAATACAGTTTACCAACTAGAGTTAAGAGGGTTCAAGAAAAGGTTAACCACTTTTTAATAATGTGTAAGATGGCAGGAAATATATAATCCATTTTAGTAGATCTTATAAAAATGATTAAAGCAAACAATTTGGGGGCAAAAAGCAGTTTAGTTTAGAAAATTTTCCTTTTGTTAGAATATTTTATTTTTTAATAATGCGGGGTAAATGACATATTGTATATGATTGGATGTTACCTTAAAGGGGTTTATAAATCTAGTTAGAGAAAGCAGACTAATATTCATAAAAGATATAAAACATTAAAATCTGTACTTTTCAATCTGGGTGTGCTACCTAACCAAATGATGTATAATGAAGATTTTTTTAAAAATCAAAAATATAACTGAAACACTTTGTTAGAAAAGTACAATAGTCAAGGAGAATAAACGTGGCTGAAATGTATCTCCTTTTATCATGTGTTTACCTTATTATTCCCTCCTTCATTGTATAATCTAGACATAGCTCTCCTAGAACTAGCAGCAAGCAATTTTTCATAGTTATGATAAAGTGATAAATATTTATAATGATGATCTTAAAGACAGTAAGATTTCAAACTGGTTAGGTGTTAGTTTTTTAATATCCTTTCTTTTTTGCTTTTTTGTTTTTGAAGATTGGTAATCCAGGTATTATTTTTACATATAACTTTCTGTTAACCAAAATAATGAGGAATATCCATTCCCTAACCAGCTGTGATAACATGGAGAAACTGTATCTAGAAATGGACAGAATTCTTTTAGACAGTTTACAATTAATAATGACTAAGTTTTTAAAATGAAACCTAATTAATTCTCTATGAGGCAGTGCCTACAGATGAAGAAGATGAAATGGAGGAATCTACAAATCGACCTCGAAAGAAACAGAAAACAGAGCAGTTGGGACTAACAAGGGTAAATATTTGTGAGAATTGACTGTATGTGGCTTAGATCTGTATTGATAAATATATGGTAATT